GCTGTTGCAAAGACTGTCTAGACACAGTTCTGTCTTGCCACATAAGCAATAAATTGAATTTTATCCAACAAGTTGCTTTGGTGAAGTCTAGGGAAATTTCTTTCTTTCATTCTTTGTTTCTTTCTTTCCTTCTTTTTTTAAATAATTTATTTAATTTTTACATACATTTGGTGTTTGGCCTGCATGTATGTCTGTGTGAGGGTGTCAGATTATCTGGAATTGAAGTTACAGACAGTTGTGAGATGCCATGTGGGTGCTGGGAATTGAACCCAGATTCTCTGGAAAAGTAACCAGTGCTCTTAACTGCTGAACCATCTTTCCAGCCCCTCTTTTTTTTTTTTTTTACTATTTTTTTTTGTTTTTCTTTGTTTTGTATTTCTTATTTATTTTTCATTTAATGTATTTGATTGCTCTATCTGCATGAACATCTGTGTGCCAGAAGAAGGCAACAGATCCTAGTATGGATGGCTATGAGCCACCATGTAGTTGCTGGGAATTAAACCCAGGACCTCTGGAAGAACAGACTGTGCTCTTAGCTGCTGAGCCATCTCTCTCCAGCCCTCTTTCTTTCTTGATACAGGGTCTCACATGTTTTTCTAACATGCCTGGAACTCACTATGTAGACCAGGATATCCTTGAACTTGGATTCACCTACCTCTGCCTCCCAAGTGCTAGGATTAAATCATTCACGATCACACCTAGCCCATAGGGCTGGTTATATACATATAACCAATATTCATATTTAGTCTTCTTTCTCCTCCTTCTTTTCCTCTTCTTTCTCCTGCTCCTCCTCTTTGCCCTTCTTGGGAAGCTGCAATTGAACCCATGGTGGAAATCAGTGATACTTCAGATTTGAGGAAATAATTGAAGCTGATAGACAGTTCTCTCTCATCAATTTATGTTCTCTAGGAGAACATAGACCTGGTCAGCTTCGATCACTGACATATTTCAATGTTATGAAGAAAATATGCTCAGTATACAATTGATGAGTGGTAGGGTAGATCTATGGACAGACGAAACTAAGTCCTTGGGGGATGAAAAAAGCAGTTCTAGCTCTTCCTGATAAGATTTTTTTTGGCAGAGCTTCTTGAAGCAAAGGGTGGAAAAAGCCATTAATCTCAGCTCTTTGGAAGTGAAGGTGGAAACAGAAGTAGAGGCAGATGCAAGCACATTTCTGTGAGTTTGAGGCCAGCTTGGTCTACATAGTAAGATCCTGTCTTAAGAAAAAAAAGTAAGAAAAAGAATTTCCACCTTTGGGGCCAGCTGGTCCTGGTGAAGTACGCCTTTAATCCCAGTGCTAGAGAGATAGAGGCAGGTGGATCTCTGTGAGTTTGAGACCAGCCTGGTCTATAGAGCAACTTCTAGGAAAGCCAGAACTGTTACACAGAGAAGCCTCATCTCAATAAAAACTAAAAATGAGTAGAATAGAATAGAATAGAATAGAATAGAATAGAATAGAATAGAATAGAATAGAACAGAACAGAACAGAATAGAATAGAATAGAATAGAATAGAATAGAATAGAATAGAATAGAATAGAATAGAATAGAATAGAATAGAATTCTATCTTTGTCTGTTTTAGTTAGTTCTTATTTAATGCAGCTTGGCTTTTAACTCATACCATATAGCTAAGAATGGCCTTGCACTCTGGTTCTCCTGCCTCTGTGTCTGAAGTGCCAGAATTACAGGTATGTGCCACTAAATCTGGCTTACTAGCCCCTCTCCTCCTCCATTTTCTTGCCCTTCTACTCTGACCCAGTTCCGGGAATATCTCCACACTCAGGCAGGCAAACATAGGGAAGGGTTTAGCCACCCGTTTGGGCTGTACATATACCCATCTCCTCACAATGTACCTAGAAATCTGTGACTCCAATCTGCAGGGAGACACATACACACCATTCCAAGCAAGGAGTTTTCTCTCCCGTTGATAGCCATCATGTGTAGACAGTTTCCATTCAACCTTTGGAGGGTAAGGGGCTGATCCATTCTTCTAAACTAGTTTTGGGCACACGTAAAATTGGGCAAATTGTGTCTCCTGAGTGAACTTTTAAGAAAAATCCCCATTTGCCATTGTATGCATATGTATAATTGGATATGCATATTATTAAAATTAGAAACACTATTGGAAGGGACACAGTAAGGAAAAGCTTATGTAACTCAAACCTGTTAATCAAAACTGAGGCCTGCCCAAGCAAACCTCTCCTGTAGACCTCATAAAAGAAGCCCCATGCAGAGCTGGGTTTGGTGGTGGACTGTAATCTCAACACTTGGGAGGCAGAGGAAGGCAGATCTCTGTGTGTTTGAGGCCAGCCTGATCTACAAAGTGAGTCCAGGATAGCCAGAACTACATAGAGAAACACTGTCTGGAGGGAGAAAAAAAAAAAAAAAAAAAAAAAAAAAGCCCCATGCAATAATGCTCTCCCATTCACGTAGATTGCTGTCACTCTTGGCAGCATATTTTTGATTGGTATTATGCCTTTGCTTCTGATAGTTTTCTTGCTACATTGCAATCTCCGGGAACCTTTATTACACTTCTTTGACTTAAGAGAACAACAACTTGGAAATATTCAGTCTAGATATCACTCATTAGTGACACAACTATCTAAGATTTTTCTGGGTTTTCCAAATTTTTACTTCATTCTTCTTTTGTGATTTTGGGGTCCAAACTTGAGGCCTCTGCATGCTAAGAAAGTGTTCTGCCATTGAGCTACATCTTTACATGCCTCTACAAAATTATCATTTTTTCCTTTTTTTTTTTTTTTTTTTTTAGATAAAATTTGATGTAGCTCAGGCTAGCCAGAACCCTACCCCCCAAAATCTAGAATTACATGAGCCACCACATCTGGCTGCTGAAAGGGTTTCTATTGGATGCTAATAGTGGCCTCATATTACCATATAGCTGCAAATTGTTTTGTTTGGGTTTTGTGTGTGTGTGTGTGTGATGTGCCTGTATATGGTGTGTGTGTACGTATTTTGCGAGTGAGAGTGCATGTGTGCCATGATGTGGAACATGTATGTGCTGAGGCACACATGTGGAAGATGGAGAACCACCCTGGGCTTGGTCCCTGACTTCTCCTTAAGACAGGATCTCTTTGTTGTTGCTATCCATTGTGCCGGGGTAGATGGCCCACAAGCTCTTAGAGTCTCCTGCTGCCTCCCAGCTGGCCATAGCTGCGCTGGGATTATAGGTATACACTATCATGCCCAGCTTTCCATGGGTTTTGGGGATTCAAATTTTTTCTTCACACTTGCTCAGTACACACTTCAACCACTGAGCTGTCTACTCCTCCCCTCATTGTTTTTGTTTGTTTGAGACAAGGTCTCAAGATGTAGCCTTTCCTGGCTTGGAACTCTATGCAGTCCATGTTGGCCTCAAACCTGCAGTGATACTCCTGCCTCAATCTCCCAGGTATTGGCTCCAGGTACGTGCCACCACATCTGGCAAGTTCTTTCCCCTTAGTGTCCTCTGATACTTGTTTTATAAAGCAAAGGGGAGGGCCTGGCAGTCAGGAGACAAGATCATTGGGCTTGGCTTCCTGTCTAAAAAGAGTCAATGCTTTCCAAGGTTCTGTGCCATGCCAGTATTCTGTCCTCTCATCGGGATTTAGGGACACAGGCTAGTGCAGCCCATCCTCGCTTTATGTGAAGAGGTCTCAGCTGAGGGGGTACAGGAATGTCAGAACCACAGGGCCTCTGCTTTCCCATCTTGTAAGAAGCCGAGGTAAAAGATAGAGAATTCCCCTACCTCTCTAGGGCAATAGGAGAGTATCTCCAAGTTTGGAGAGGAGGTGAAGGGCAGTACAGTGGTGGGAAACACCTTAAAGGAAGTGGGTAGTAGTTAGAGGTGGTTGGGGCAAGGCTGAAGACCTGGAGGGACTAGTTGAGAAACTGGGTGGTGGTGACTAAGACATTTGAGTCCTGAGAACATCTTTCAACTTCAATGCCCTGAGACTGTTCATTCCTGTCATTTACTATTCACAAATCAAATATCCTACCTTAGAGTTACTGAAATAAAATGACTCTATGATGCAATCAATGTGAGCTAGAAGAGAAAGGGCCAGCCTTTGGTCCAAAGACTTTTTTTTTCTGGACAGATTTCTTTTTACTTTTTAAAATTAGATTTATGTATCTTATTTTATGTGAGAAAGTTTTGTCCCCATGTGTGCCTGTGCATCATGTGTGTGCCTGATGCCCTTGGAGATCAGAATAAGATGTCATACCCACTAGAGCTGGAATTATGGATGGTTGTGAACTACCTTGTGGGTTCTGGGAATTGAACCAGGTCCTCTGTAAGAACATGTGTCCTTGACCAGTGAGCCACCTCTCTAGTCCATAAACACACAGTCCACAGATGGCAGAAATAACTCAGCTGGAGGGAACAGGTACTATTATGCCACCCCAGTCCTATCAATAGCCACTACTGCTACCACAGGGTTCAGTCACCAAAGCTGACAGCACAGTGAATGTTTCCAAAATCTCAGAGCATATATGTAGTATGTGATTATACATATGCATTTACATATGCATAGATAAATATATGTAGGGCTAATAACAGCATTATGTTCTGAACTTATCTCAGCAATGCCTCGGCCAGCGGAGCTAAAGTTATTCGGGGGGCGTAGAAGAGAATCCGACCCTGTGAAAAGATGAACGAGAGAAAAGAACGAGTCCAAGCAAACAGGTGCTTGTCAAGGACTAACTTTACTGAGCAGAATCAGCTTTTATAAAGGGTTCAGGATAAGGAAGTAGGGTGGGTGAAAAATTACAAATTCTTCTCGGCCAGGGGCCTGAAACATCTTGTGATAAGCCACAGTTCTGTGAGCACATCTCTGCTGCTGCCAAGCAGTATGTTTACTACAGGTAAGGGAACGGGCAAGTTGAGGCAAGTTGGTGAGCTTCCACAGGTGGTCTCTGAAGTTGGCGAGTTCTCTCAGGTGGTCCCTGACACAGCAACAGCTTTTCTGGGTTCTGCAGTTATTTGAACAAAATTATACAGACAAAAAATATATGGGAAGCTTTACAGATTTTCATGTCGTCCTTGTGCAGGGGCCTTGCTAATATCTGTATCTTTTTAATTTTAACTGATGTGCTGCCAAAGCAAGCACAAGACCTTGAATTTCTAATCCTTCTGCCTCACCTCTCAAGTTGGGAGATTTACAGGTTTATGAGCCCACGATCAACCTGTTTCTTGGAGCTATCAATCCTAATGGAGGATTAACCTCAAAGGCCTCTCACAAGCTGGGCAAACTCTCCACTGAAGTACACCCCAGCCTGAAAGCTTCTCCCTGAAACACACTGAGACATGTAGGGAACTCACTCTTGCTCTCACTCCCAGACTACTGTGTGCCTTGCCTTAACTTCTATCATTGGCTTTGGTCATGCAGACTCAGAGTTTGTTTTGGGGGTTGGAGAGATGGCTCAGCAGTTAAGAGCACTTGCTGCTCTTGAAGAGGACTCAAGTTTGGTTCTTAGCCCCCATTATAAGTGTTACAGCTCTGCTCCAAGAGGTACCCTGGCAGTCAGGAGCCTAGGAATACCACAAAGTCACACAGCATGGCAAATCCCACTCAAGAGATTTATTGGGAGGAAAAACCCAGGAGTGTGGCTGCTTCTGTTGGGGTGTCCGGGAGGAGACAAGAAGCAACAAGAAACCGAGCAGAAGATAGGGTTTATATAGGGTTTCCTGGGTTGGGGGGGAGGGTTGATGGTGGCTTGGCATTGGGAGCAAGCTTCAGGGTTGATAGGATTCTGTGCTCAGGAATTGGTGGGACCCTGTTTCCTATCCCTGGTCTTAGGCTTGGTGTCATGTCACGGTCAGGGTGTTTTTCCTTTTGCCTTGGTCCTTTTATCCTACACCCCTGATAGGCAGCTTATAACTGCTTATAACTCCAGCCCCAAGGGGTCCATCACCCTCTTCTGGCCTCAGCAACATCTGTACCTGAGTTATGTACTCACAAACACATTCAGAAAATTAAAAATAAAAACATTAATAGTAACAATAATAATAGTTTGTTTCTACTCCAAATAAACCTGGATGTACAAACTCAGTTGGTCCAGTTAAATGAGCCAACCCTAGCTCCCCAAAGTCTTTCCCAAGACCATACATTAGCTTTAAAGCACTTTCTACCACATGTTTCCTGGAAGGTGGTTCCAAAGCCCAAGTCTAGATTTGCTCACCTCTGACACAGTTCTATTTTGCAGGCTTTTGTGTGCGTATGTATGTGTGTGCGCAAGCGCGTGGAGAATTGAACAGAGCCTTGCACATACTATTATGAGCTTTCTCTTCCATGGAATCTCATCTCTAGCACCCAGGCTGTGTGTGTGTGTGTCTAAGTGTGAGCACACACACACACACACACACACACACACACACACACACACACACCTGTATAAGTATGTGTATATGCTTCTGTGTGTGTGTGTGTGCCTGCCAAATTAGGATGATGGTTTCGCAGCGAGCTCTGCTTGTCCTCAAGGCATAGACCACTCAGCCTTCCTTCTTCTCTACTCCATTTTCTTCTGTTCTCTCACTTTGCTGGGGCCTTGCTTCCCTGTTGGCAGGTGAACTGGCTATTTCTGTTATTTTTAGCTCCTCCCTTCCCTGCAAACAGGCAGATTCTATCTCCTTCAGGAATCTCCCCTCCTTTCTATTCCGGGTAGATTGCCCTCAGACTGGACACACAAGCCCTTACCTTAAGGAATCTAATTACTTTTTAACAGCTAAACCGATCTTCCTACCTGCAGGCACACATAGCTCCCCAGTGCTGAGCTCACCAACTCCTATTCTTCCACTTGGCATTGCTTTGCTTGTTGCTGACTAGTCTAAACTTTTCAGTAGGCGCCCAGGGGCTCCTCATGATCTCACCTAAGCCCAGACGTCTGCCGCCTTAACTCCCCCAAACCCTGTGACCAGTAATCCTCAAATCAGTGTGCACATTCCAAGTTAAGTGGTTTCTCCGTAGTTTCTGTCAATGATCCAAATTTTAGTCTGGTTTTTTTTTTTGGCCAATCTCCTTCATAACAGTGATATAGCTGGAAATGCTGAAACCATTTTCTGTGCCTTCACTCACCTCTTACCATTTTCTAAATGCCTGATTCACAACTGACAATTGATTTATATTACACAAATTTTCTCCTGTGGGGAAACTGGGTAATGTCCACCCCGCCCACCTCTAAGGTTCCAATGACAAACTGAAATTTGATTTTATTTACTTACTTACTGAGCATGGTTGAGTGGGTATTTACAGGATGGTAAGACTTGCTGTGCTGGCAAGTCTTCACCTGGCATGGATGATGGCTCCCCACTAGCCACATGGATGGAGTTCCCTACTCTAGTCTTCCCCAGCTTATACACTTTGGGCTTTGTCTGAGATCACCCAAGCCACATGCATTAGGGCAAAATTGGATTCATATAGTTGGAGAGTGCCTGGATACTTAGGCTAGAGTCCATGGCCCTCCCTGTCTCTCCATTCATGGAGGGAAGTCACACAGTCAAAAAGTCCAGCTATAAAGCAGGTAGAGATCCTCCTGTCTTTGCCTCCCCAAGTGCTGGCATTATAGGCATGCACCACCTAGCCTGGCTCAATTTTGATTTTTTAAATTAAATCTTGTTGTGTTTGTTGTTGTGGTGGTGGTGTTGGTACTGGTATGTGTGTGTTTGGGTGTGTGCATATGTCACAGCATACCTGTGGCTGTCAGAGGTCCACTCTGAGAAGGCAGATCTCTCCACCTTTAGATGGTTTTGGGGAACTAACTCAGGTTGTCAGCTTTTTATACAAGCGCCATATCTATTCTCAGATCTTTCTAACTGAATGGTAATCTCAATTTTGTACTGCTTAAACATAAGTTCCAAGTGCAGCTGGGAATGGTAAGGTGTGCTAGAAATCACAGACCAGGCAGCTGAGAGGAGTTCAAAGCTAAACTAAATAGTGAACTTGAGGCCAGCTTGGGTTACATGAGAACCTATCTCAAAATAGCAAAACAAATCTACTCCTCTTCCCGAAACCCAGAACAAGGTCCACATACATTTATTAAGTACCATGTAATATGTATCTGAAATAGGGAGTGACAATAAAGGAGAAAAGAAAAAAGGAAAGAAGGGAAATAACAAAAGAGAGATGACTTAGTAGGTAAAGGTGCTTGCTGCCAAGACTAGTACGCTGAGTTAAATCCCAGAACCCACTTGGTGAGACATTCAAGTTCTAAAACTTGTTCTCTGACCTCACATGTATGCCCTGACATGTACTCCCATGCACCCAAACATCTTTGCCTTCTCATGTGTTCCTTGACATGTACTCCACACACCTATATCTCTACCTTCACGTGTACCTTGACATGTACCCCATACACTCACACATCTCTGACCCCACATGTGTGCCCTGACATATACACTCACATACAAAGTACATAAATGTGAAGAAGGAGGAAGAAGGGAGGAGGCTCTGAAGAGATAGTTCAGTGATTAAACATAACCACTGCTCTTACAGAGGACCAGAATTGTATTCCTAGCACCCATGTCAGGCAGCTCACAACCCTCCGTAACTTTAGCTCGAGGGAATACAATGCCCTCTTTAGTCTCCCTCAGGTGCTAGCACACATGTGCAAATACACTCATACAGACACAGACACATACATGAAAAAAATAAATCTTTTTTGCCTTTTCTTTGTTTTAAGGAAAGGGCTAACAGCTCCAGGTGAGGCATTACTGGGATACTGAGAGTCAAAGCCAAGCCTCACCCACGATGTGTCAGTGCCCTGCTGCTGACACACACTTCCACTCTCTAGAGATGTTCTCATTTAACAATAGGGCACTTAACAGAGTATACAGCCTTTTAATGAATTATTCTCAGATTTTTAAACAAGTTTTTTAAGTGAGTTTCATATGTAGCTTAGGTTAGAACTTACTATGTAGCTCAGACTCTCCTCAAATTTCCATCAATCTACCTGTCTTAGCCTTTCCAGTGCTAGGATTATAAGTGTGAGCCACCAATGCTTGGATCGTTTTGAGTTATTAATTTGAACTATTGGTAAAAACTTAAACATGACATATATTAAAGTTTAAGCCAGCAAAACTTGTTAAAGGTATGTTTAGGGGCTGAGGAGATGGCTTGGCGGATAAAGTGTTGCCTATGCAGGAAGACCTGAGGGTCTTTGGTCTCATGGAACAGCGGCGGCACGCATTCAAAGCACTTGTGCTGGAAGTCCAGACAGGAGGATCCAGGAGTCCACTGTCAGCCAATCTAGCCAACTGCAGAGTAAGCTCCAGGTTCCGTGAGAGAGCTTGTCTCAAAAAAGCAAGGCAGAGAGTGACAGGGAAGACATTGGAGGTTGATTTTTAGCCTTTATAAAGGGAAACGTGGTCAAGCATAGTCTCCACATATGCACATACAAACATACATCAGAGATGAGGCGAAGAAAGTGAGAGAGGAAAAGAGGGAGAGGGAGAAAAAAGAGAGGAAAGGAGAGAGAATGTTATTTTAGGATACATCTAAGAGCTGAAAAGTAGTGGTGCATGCCTTTGATTCCTGCACTTGGGAAGCAGAAACATGTGAATCTCTGTGAGTTCAAGGCCAGCCTGGTCTACAGAGTGGGTTCCTGGACAGCCAGGACTACATAGAGAAAACTTGTCTCAAAAAACCACCAAGACAAGAACCTAAAACTTATGTACCATCTGATGAGGTTGTCAATCAAGGTACATGAAGGAATTCCAGGGGAATGCATAAAGATGTACTGAGGATATAGTTAGAACTGAGAAGAGCCTCTTTTGAATATTTGTCGTCACAGAAATTTACAGAAATTCTGCAGTCAGCCTCAGGAGATGATATTCTTGCTTAGAACAAGTTGAAAGATAAACTTTGGACAGTATTATTCTATGTCCTTTGTAATGAATAACCCAAGATAATGTGTTAAAGTTTAGTGGAGATTTAAATTCCTGAGCTGATTAAAGTTAAGACCATAAGATCTAAAAAAAAAAGTATTAATATTAGTTCTGGAGTATATAGTGAAAAATTGCATGTCTTAAAAAAAACCCACTTTTTACTGTCTAATTCTGCAAAGCGATACAGAATTAGTACAAACAAACAAACAAACAAACAAACAATTCAAC